TATTATCAAATTAATTTAATCAGAGCAATGAAATAAACTCAATCTTCACGAGTTTCAAATATTATGGTGCTGAAAGCACTCATATCAACATTTATAATTTCTTAGTACCGACAGTCACATTAACATTTATTATGATATTACAAATATGTAAAGTAAGTGTGTGTATGCGTTTAAGTGCTTCTTAAGGTAGTTAGCTATGTCTCAAGACTCGAATATAGCCTTAAACGAGTGACAGACAAAAGGCCTCAAATTAAACTAATTCTTGACCGACTGGCAAACCCGAACAGTTTCTGCTTGAACAACAGATACCTAAGAATGTAAGCCCATTAGCCAATATAACAAAGCGATCTGCGAACACAGAATCCAGGAATATGGGGAAATTAATGTAACGGACACTAAGTAGGGACCCATCAGAAGTTCCTCCAAAGTTACCAAAACTCCCATACTACTGAATCTATGTTCTAGCATAGGAAAAACGCGACTGTGACAATACACAGAAACCAGTACAAAATTAGGTCAGAGCTTATAGATATGGACCTGAGATGTTCAGGAGTCTATGTTACACACAACGCCGTACAACGTCGAAACTCCAAAGGTATACAAATGTGCTGTGAACCAAAGTTCTTACAGAACTGACAAGAATAATGAGGACGGACAATCTATCCAACCACCAAGCGAGTATCCTGCAGGATGAATACGCTTTTCGAGAGGTGAGAACAAAACCCTCACCTCGATCACGTGTAGCTACGTGGACACTGCAGCTCAGAAGCCGTCAGATAAGAGCAATAAACGGCGACAAGCGATAATTTCAGTGTTTGATAATGAAGACTAAAGGAGCACTTTTTAATACATCTAAGCAACATAATGCTAAATAAAACAATATAACAGTCAATTAATAATATTAAGTCATACATTTTCGATTGCTTAGCTTATTAGATTCGCAAATATAAGCAATATAAAATTAAATGAAAAGGTAATATACATAGATATACATATAATCATTGTAACTATTCAGGGGTTTGCAACACCCCCACCCCCACACGAAGAGGGGTCGCATAGAGTTGCTAGAATGTCTTTTTTTCACATTATTTCTGGTTACTATATCAATATTATTATCAAAATAAATATTAATTAGTCTCTATTGTGCAAGAACCTCTACCAATTCACAGCCGTCCGTTAACTAGAGGATTGTCCCTAGTACTAGGGCAGTACAAGTAACAGTATCGTATCTGCATATCGTGGTTATATACATCAGTGTAGAGACTGGATAGCGCTGACAGGGGGCACGTTGGGCTCTGTCATAGTAGAGGGGAGACTTGTAATTCCACTCTTAAGAAGTGGTTGATGGAATGCGAGGCAGTATGAACATCTGAGTATGAAAACAGCTTAAGGTGTGTAGTGAGGGTGGGGTCTGCGAAGGACAGTGTTGCGTCAGCAGTACATCACCCCCCCACCACACTACTCACGCAACATCAGTTGTTCCTCCTCACACATCAATTACTGTTGGAATACAGTAAATATAATAGAATGGACATGAGTATATATAGTTAATATGGGCTGGAGGATTAAGTTACTTTACGGAATTTGATTAGCAAGTAACACAAGGTAATTTGGGCATTAAAAATTACGTGAATTTAATGTAAACATGATAATTAATTAAGGATGCGATGAGCATCAGCTAATTACATTACAATGTCCACTTCATATGTTTTATTCTAATAGAAAAAGGTTGGAATTCTGAAGGACCACCTCATAAGATCCTAGCATTTTTACTTCTTATCTATAGTTAATTTATATAAGTGAGTGGATTGTGGTCAGAAAAAACGTTTAATTTAAATGGGGATGTGCCCAAATACCACGTCAAAAATGTTCCAAGGACTCCACAAGGCTAGAGCTATTCTTCAATGAAGGGTGGGGGGCATAATTTTTCTGGTTGTGTTTAAGCTTAGATGAATTAGGAAACCATATAGGGATGGTGAGAATATCAGTGGATGTGTGGACTTTGGAGCAGCACAGCACCCACTTGCATTAGCCACTAGCATTTATATGTAAAAAGGAAGGGAATATTTGAAATTAGGTACTTTTCAAAACAGGCAGCAGAGGAAGAGCAAACGTTTCAACATATTGTTGAACGAGTTCTGAACCAATCTCTAGTCAGGTGAACTTGAAACTTGTACTAGGGTATGCTCAGTAAGAGGAGGCTGCAATCTGAGAAAAAGTTTGGACAGAACTGCGATATATCCTGCCATACCCAGGAATTCTGTATCCTTTCCTCTCTTTTTTGTGGCACTGGAAATTCAGAAATTGCACGAACCTTTATGGCCTCAAATAGGAGCAACCTCACTTGACCGATACAAAAAAGCCTAGATAGGTAATATTGGGTGACCCAAAACTATTTTAGCTAAGTTAACGGTGAGTTGTCGTGCGCCAGTCTCTCAAACAATGCTCTGTGGGACGCGTTTCAAGTGCTGTGCCCACTCGTCACTGTACATCACTAAGTCGTAAAGTAGGCTTCTACTCCTTCTTATGGTGTGGGTTCAACTCGTTCTTATACGTTGGAATGAACGGAAGCAGCGTTTACATAGGCCGAAGGGGGTGACGAGGTAGTTAAACAATCCATATTGACAGTAAAAGCAGATATTTCTTGAGCACGTTCAGTTAGACACGGGTACTTGATTAATAGGCCTCGTAAGAGATCTAAACGGAGCTGCAACTGGGTCTGGGACACCGGTCAATAAGGTCGTCAATGCGAGGTAGAAATAACCCATCGGGCAAGGTGACAGAGTTCACTTTCCTGGGTAATCAGTGCACATCCTGGAAACTACCGTCAGTTTAGGCACTCTAAATACAGGGAGATGCCCATGGACTTTTACTGCGTTCAATAAGTCCGTGAGATACAGAAAATAACCTCTTCTCTCAATTGCTTTATGTTTGTTGGACTCATCCTATATGGTGATTGCTTATTGGGTGATGCTCCCTTTACATTCAAACGTCTTGTACACCCAGATGTACAAACGTTTAGGAAACATCACCGAACAATTCAGGGGAAATTCAAAATCATGGTTTTTAATATCACCAGCTTTATTTCCCCCCCCCCCCAATCCAAGGTTACTTAGGAACATTGTATAGTGAGTTGTTGTAGAGTCACTGAAATTTTTAAACAACCTCTATACACTCTAGAGATGTCAGGTAGACTGACGTTTTTCTTCCTCTGCTAGGCAATAAAAGGGGAATAGAAGTATGTAGGTAGAGACTAGGTTAGTATGCCTTGAAGCTGGTTCTTAACATGGTACACATGATTAGATTTTCTTTTTTCCCAGGCGTACGTACCATAATAATTTACGTTCGCCTAAGCTTTTTCACTATTCAGGGGACCCATCAATACTGGCTTGTAGAGCATGACCTGGTACTAAATTTTCGAGCCATCTCCTTATCTCGTTGCTTTAAATGAACGAGAGGACAGCGCTTGTCTATTGTTGCTTCATTCTAACTTGAGCTGAAAACTAGTTTTTTTCGAAGCTAGCTCTCTAGCGGCTGTCAAATGTTGCTGGCATTAAATGAAGGTGAAGTACCTCAATGATGGATTTGATTTTCCTGTCCACACGTCTTTTTTAAACACTGCGAGAGGACCAGCACTTGGTGTCCGATATTAGTTCAAACGGGATAAACTCGAGACTTTCTGGTTCACTTCCTCATAGCGAAACAGAAGAAAAACGGTATACCTCATCCAGTCTCTAGAAAAAATGTCAACAAATAAGCTCTTCATCATGGACTTCAGTGTCTGATGAAAATCGCTCTAGAGCCCCTTGTGACTGTGGATGATACTGGTTGAAAGTACAGACGTTATTCCTAGGGGGGGATAATTGCTCTCGAAAGATCTTAGAAGTGAGTTTAGTATCCTGAATCTGATTTTGTATCTCTCGTGGCAATCCAACCTTGGGAGAAAAATTTCATCAGCGCTCTCACAATAGCACGAGCATTAATTTTTTTATAGGAATAGCTTCGGGATTAGGGTTGTTGCAAGCGTCCCATAATAGTAATTAAGTATTGGTTTTAGTTTGGTTTCTAGGCAAAGGACAAACCAATCCTATAATAAGGACGTGAGAATGGTTCACATTGCACGGTGATAGGAATGAGAGCGAGGTGGATGGTTGTGTGCACTGGCTTGCCTGTCACTTGACTCTACGTGGCATCGTCGCAATGATCAGCTACTGTTTCCTTCATCTTTGGCCAAGTAAAATGTTTTGCCAGGTGTGCCGAGTGTCTTTCTTGACACCCTAATGTCTCCTATGGGACTATTGTGGCAAAAATATCAATGGCTTGTCACGAAATGTAACGTGGGTTACACTACTAGATGCTTGGACTGTGGTGGAAACACTTTTCAGATGACAAGACATCATGTAATTTTTCTCCATCAGTCAACCGTTACTATAATAGTAACAATTTTCGAGTTCCTTTGTTCACTCTCAGTAATGCCATATCTCTCAGTCTTTCCAGTGATCTGATCAACAAACTGATCCTTGATTAAATCATCATGAGTAACAGAAATTTTAACGTCAGTTGTGTCCTGACTAGGTTGCATGACCGAGGGGGAGTCAGTGTTAATGATCTGGGCTGCAGAGGAGCGTCAACTAAAAACAACATATTCAACCCAATTCATTGTCATTCACTAATCAACGGAGGGGAGACAAGGATGCGTTTTGAATCTTTGACATAGAAAAAACTCTAGTAATTGCGCTGAGAGGAAATAAATTGGCTTCTTCTCTACAGCTTCATGCATAATTATCCATCAGTGTTATTATCCATCACAGTGGTTCTTTACATATACCAGCAATGAAAGATTCGTTCCCTATCAAAACCTAGTCCACTGACTGAGGGGGAAATACACCACTGGATATACCCCACTGAAAATATAACCAGTATTATGCTTGTTTCAGTTATAAAACTTTGTGCAGAGGCACTTTTTATATCAGCCCCTCCATAGGCTTATAACACCTCACATCTTTTGCAATAGTATCGTCCAGTTATGGGCAGACCATCTTCTTTAATAATGTGAGATAACTGCCAGTTGTCTCTGAAAGAAACTATCTCAGTTAGGGTGATTTCGTCAAATCCTATTCTACCTCTTTGAAATAGTAAGGACTTCATCGTGATGAAGGATCTTTTCGTCAGATACACTTTCTGACGCTAGTCATCTATCCTGGAGTAACATTATCTAAACAGTAGGTTAAGAGGAATTGCTTAGGATTTTTGGTTGGCCTTTGTTGCTAGGAAGGGGATACGACTTGAGTGGGGGCGCCAGCCGCACGACTGTATCTCGTATCTCTTTCCAACTTATAGCAATACTCTCTCGACTGGTTCCTTTTCTGTTCAATAGGTTCATTCTACCTTTCTTCTTCTCGATACCAGATTTCTGTCTAGCCACAGAGACAGATTCAGGATTGGAGTTTTCCTGGTAAAGGTACGAGAATTACAGTTGAAGGTACATCCAGGGCCGGCAAGACTTAGCAGTGATTTAGGTTGCAAGTCTCGGACAATCTTTAGTTAACTTGTTCTCTGTGTTCTTAGTCGTACAGGTTTGTGAGAAAATCTGTAATTGTCTGCTAATTGCTGCAGTTTCCAGAATATCTGAGGTAGTATGGATCGATTCAGGTGATCTTGTATGTTCAGCAGACATACTGTTCGTAAACTCTTCGTGTAGTAACTACTGAAAACAAAGGCTGTCGTAGTTGTTACATTTAGCAGCTCTAGACCATCTCTCATAAAGCAACTTTTTTCTCACGAGCAAAACTCTTCACAAGCTGATCTGTCGTCGTTCTAAACGTACGAAATGGCTCTTTGATAACTTACAGGGTATCAAGTTATTACGGTCTCGTAGAATAGTTTGGTTTGACAGCGTCATAATAATGTACTTAGCAAAATGGCCAAAGCTGCTAGTACAGGTTGTGCTTTTCCCGTCAAAGCAGTTGAGCAATGTTGCCCAGGCTTACGTGGCCTGTTTCATAGCCGTGCCTGGGTTCTTAAAACAAATCAAAATTAGGTGTTTTTTTTTTTTTTTTTTTTTTTTTTTTTTTTTTTTTTTTGTTTTTTTTTTTTTTCCCTTTTTTTTTTTTTTAAGTCATTTCAAAAAACTTAGGAACCATTGATGCAGCTTTCTGCACATTAAATGTGTTCCTGTAATATTTCAGTTCCTGTTGTTTAAACAGCCGTACATTTTCTCTTGGAAATCTTTTCGTTCAATTTCCTCGGTGCCTCTATTTGTGCAGTCTGCAACATAAGGAGGCGTTTCAAAACCTTCAAAACTGTTCCTGAGAGAATAGGACCTGTGAGGTAAGGGAGGAGTAGGGAAATTAACATGGTCTGGACGGTCTTAGGTACGGACACTTGGTCTGCCGTTCTCTAGAGTGTCTAGTTTGGTCTAGGATAAGTAAATACAAGGTGTTGTGATAAACTGTACTTTGTATTAGGTTGTGTTGCATACTACCAGTACCACTCTGTACCTATAGTGTCAGTGAGGGAAGGCACGTGAGGAGACACTGAGTACACTAGGCTCAGTGACACTAGGACTCACTTTGATCTAGTTGCTCTTTTATCTTCATCAAAATAGTGTCATTACCCTCCTAATTGTTGACACTTGGCCTTTCTGAATCTGAATCATAATCAGACATCTCTGTATGAGCAGGAAACTATATATCTTTAATTAATGCTCTGACAGTTTAGCGGTGTAATTCCTGGTCTACGTCACACCGAGATATTTGGCTACTTGCACACGGCTTGGAGTTTAATGTTATTAACTCAGACAAAGTCTGAGTATCAATTAACTGTTTCACTTTGGCTTAAATACGAAAATTAATTGTCACTACGGATGAGAGGATTAGGGGAAACTATAATCCTAATTGGGAATTTTAGTGTTCCGTTGTCTTAGAGTAGCGCTCATAAACAGTTATTTCCATCTCCTTGGATCAAGAGGGACTCAGTCGGTACATTACTATCCACCTGGTATGTTGTCAAGACTAAACTCTAAGTCTTCAGATTAGGAAAGTACTCAAAGTGTTTGATCATAGATTCACTAGTCTGTTCAAACTGGACATTTCTCCAACAACCTTGGTATCCAAGAGCCCTCCGGAAGGCCCATTGGTTTACAAAAAACGCGATTCTAAGCTTTAGTAGATTCTCCAGTGAATACTAGAAAGGACTGCCCTTATACATCCAGCCTGTTACTGGGTTTCGTTAACAAAGTAGTCGTTATCTTGTCCAATTATCCATTATAAAATTCAGTATGGTTCAATAGTGCTTTAGGATTACAACTGGTAGGCTACTATAGAGAAATTAAAACTTTAATAAATTATTAGGTTAGAGGTTATATTATCAAATTTAATTAATCACAGCAATGAAAATAAATATCACAATCTCTCAGAGTTTCAATATTATTGTGTGTAAGCCACAATCACCATTTATAAATTTTAAGTTTACCGTCAGGTCTTAACATGTAATTAGGATTATTACAAATATGTAATGTAGTGTGTGTATGCGTTTAGCGCTCTTTTTAAGTAGTTTAGCTATGTCTCAAGGACTTCGAATAGACTTAAACAAGTGATGACAAAAGTCCTCGAATAAACTAACTTCTTGACCGACTGGGCACCCGAACAGTCTGCTTGTTCCAACTAAAGAATGCTAAGCCAATAGCCATATAACAAGCGACTGCGACACAGAATCAGGAACAATGGGAAATAATATAACGACATAAGTAGGGACAATCGCAGATCTCCTCAAGTTACAAAAACTCCCATACTATGAATTCTATGTTAAGCATAGGGAAAAAGCGACTGTGGACAATACACAGAAACCAATGTTACAAAATTAGGTTCAGACGCTATAGCTAGGACCTGAGATGTTCAGTGTGTCTATGTGAACACAAACTCAGTAGCAACGTCGAAAATCACAAAAGGTCTATACAATGTTCTGTGGAACAAAGAGTTCTACAGAACTAACAAGAATAATAGAGACAGACATTCTATCCACCTCCAAGCGCAGTCTCCAGCATGACTGTATACTTTTCGAGAGGTGAGGGACACCCCCCCTCTATCACGTGACTAGCTCCGTGGACAAAAACTGCAGCTCAGAAGCCGGCAAGTATAAAACGAGCGACAGCGATAATTACAGTAGTTTGATAATCAAGACAACTGAGAACCATTTATATAAAAGCTAAACATAAGCTTATATCATTATAACAGTCAATAATAATAATAAAGTCATACATTTACGGATTTAGCTTTATCGCAAATATAGCAATATAAAATGAATGAAAAAGGTAATATACTTATATATTAATAATAATCATTGTACCATTCAGTGGTTGCAACTGGGCGGCAGTGTCAGTGGTGTCGGCTGTGATCAGTCTGGTGCAGCAGTGATTAGTGGTGTGGTTGTGATCAGTGGTGTGGCTGTGATCAGAGTGGTGCGGCAGTTAGTGATCAGTGGTGGGGCGTAATCAGTGGTGCGGCTAGATTTAGTGATCGGTGATGTGGCCATCAGGGGTTGGTTGCAACAGTGCGGCGTGATCAGTGGTGCGGCTGTGATCTGTGGTGCAGCAGTGATTGTGGTGTGGTTGTGATCAGTGGTGTGGCTGTGATCAGTGGTTGCGGCAGTGATCAGTGGTGCTGGCTGTAATCAGTGGTGCGGCTGTGATCAGTGACTGTGGCTGTGGATCAGTGGTGCGGCCAGTGATTGTTTGGTGCGGCAGTTATCGTGGTGCGGCTTTGTGATCAGGGGGGCGGCAGTGATCAGGGGGGGTTTTTGATCAGGGGTTTGGGGCGTGAACAGTGTGGGCTGTGCAGGGCGGCTGACAGTGTGGGGAGGATAGTGGTGGGGTGATCAGTGGTGGCTTTTCAGTGTGTGGCGTGTTCATTTTGTGCGGCGTTTCATGGGGGGCGTGACAGGGGTGGCGTGTTTAGTGGTGGGTTGGATCAGGGGTTGGCTTGATCTGGGTTTGGCTGTGATCGGGGTGCGCCTTGATCATGGTGCGCAGTGACAGTGGTGGCGTGTCGTTGCGGCTGTGATCAGTGGTGCGGATGACAGTGGTGGGGGCGTGATCGTGAGCGGCTTTGATGTGTGGGGCGTGATCATGGGCGGCATGATCAGTGGGGCTGTGATCAGGGGTGCGCAGTGTCAGGGGTGGGGCGTGATCAGTGTGGGCTGTGATCATGGTGGGGCATGACATGGGCGGCGGATCAGTGTGGGGCGTTCTGGTGCGCGTGATCATGGTGCTCGGGTTTTCTGGTGTGGCTGGATCAGTGGGGGCTTATCAGGGGGTGCTGAATACAGTGGTGGGCTGATAGGGTGCGATGTGACCCAATGGTGCGGCAGGATCAGTGGTGTTGCAGTGATCATGGTGCGGCTGTGATCAGTGGTGCGGTATGATCATGGTGTGGCTGTGATCAGTGGTGCGGCATGATCAGTGGTGCGGCAGTGATCGATGGTGCGGCATGGGGTCAGTGGTGCGGCTGTGATCGGGTGGTGCGCAGTGATCAGTGGTGGGGCTGTGATCAGTGGTGCGGCTGTGATCATGGTGCGGAAAGTGATCAGTGGTGTGGCTGTGATCAGTGGTGGGGCTGTGATCAGTGGTGCGGCAGTGATCAGGGGTGTGGTGCGGCAGTGGTTTGGCTGGGTGATCAGTGGTGCGGCAGTGATCAGTGAGTGGGTGTGTTCAGTGGTTTGGCTGTGATCATGGGGTGGCTGTGATCAGTGTGGATCAGACGTGGCTTGTTTCAGTGGGCGACGTGATCAGGGTGCGGCAGCGATCAGTGGTGTGGCTGTGATCCAGTGGTGCGTCAGTGATCGGGGTGTGGCTGTGATCAGTGGTTTGACGTGATTGGGGTGCGGCTTGATCAGTGAATGGCTGTGATCAGTGGCTTGCTGTGGTCAGTGGTGGGGCTGTGATCAGTGTGTGGCTGTGATTAGTGGTGTGGCTGTGATCAGTGATGTGGCTGTGATCAGTGATTTGACTGGATCAGGGGGCGGGCTGTGATCAGTGGTGTGGCTCTGATTGTGGGTGGGTGTGATCATGGGGGGGCTGTGATCAGTGATTGACGGGCGACAGTGGTGCTGCTGTGATCAGTGAAATAGCTGTGATCAGTTGTGGCTGTGAT